GCAGGCGAAGCGGGGGGGCGGGGGGCAGCACCACGGCTCAGCCGCAGCGCAAGGCGAGCGCTGATACACCGGTGTCCACGCCAGGCTGGTGGCTCATGCCTGCCTGCCTGCCCCCTGCCTGCCTGCCCCCCGCCTGCCTGCCTCGCCTGCCGGCCCCGCCCGCCACCAGGCCCGGCCCCTGGCGCTCACTCTATCTCCAGCGCGGTCAGGCGCGGCAGCTGTATGGGCGCGTCGCCGCCGTCAAACACCAGGTCCCCGCACCAGCGCAGCTCGCTGAGGGTGCTGGCCTTCCAGGCGGCCGCCGCCATGGGCTCCGCGGCTGCAGGGGGGGCGGCGGGGAGCAAGCAGCCGCGCCAACACTCCCTCAGGTGGTGCTTGGGTGGCTGGGCAGCCTACGGCCGCGCAGGGAGCAGCGGGTTTCTCCCGCCTAGCCGGCGCCTGGCGGCGGCAGGGGCGCGCGGCTGTGCGGCCTCGGCACCCTGGCCTGCACCCCGCCCTCGCTCACCGTCCTCCCCCGCGTCCAGCCCCTGCAGCGGCTGCAGGTCCAGCATGACCAGGTTGGGGAGGGCCGCCAGGCCGCGGGACGCGCGGTAGCAGCCCACCAGCGACAGCTCGCGCACCTGCGGGGCGGCGGGCGGCACACGGGCGGTGGGGGGGAGCAATGAGGCAAGCCACAGCGAGCAGGCAGGGAGAGGAAAAAAAACAAAAAAAAACAGGGGCGGCCTGATGGTCGGCAAAGGACCGCCACAGCTGCAGTGGCAGCTGTCGCCACACAGCTGCCCCTCTCCTGCAGCAGGCGCCCTGCGCAGCAGGCGCTCCCCCCACGTGCGGCCGCGCCTGTGTGAGGGAGCGCAGGTCTGGCAGGTTTGCCTCCAGGTCCTCCACTATGCTGAGCACGAGGCGGGTGAGGTGGCGCATCGTGCGCAGCGGGGAGTAGTCGCGCAGCAGGTCCAGAGCCATCCAGTCCTCTGCAAAGGGCGGGGTGCGGGCAGGCAGGTGGGTGTGGAGTCGTGCTTGTATTTTCTCCCACCCTGCCCCATATGGAAGCAGGGTTGGCTGTCGTGGGGGGCGGCGCCAGCGCGGCCTGCATCTGCCGGCGCCCCTTCCGCAGGCCGTCGAGGCTCCAGGAGCGCGGCCCCTCGCCGGTGCCCCCCAGCCCACCCCGCTCACCGAGCTCCAGCGAGCGCAGCGCTGTGAGGTGGCGGAAGGACTCCCCGCCCTCCGCCATGCCCTGGCAGCTGCACTCGAACTTGGTGATCTTGGCGGTGAGGGCGGGCAGGGCGGCCAGCTGGCCCTCCAGCAGCGCCAGCTCAGCGGGCTCCAAGTCGATCCACAGGTTGCACCCAGACAGCCCCACCTCGCGCAGCGCGCCCCACCCGCCGCCCCCCAGCACCCGCAGCAGCTGGGGGCACAGCCCGTCCTCCACCTCCAACACCTGCACGCCAAGCAAGGGGCGGCAGTGGGTGGGGGGGGCAGGCCAGGTGGGCAGCGGGCGGGGCGGGGCAGGGATGCGGGCAGCAGCACGACACCTGCACTGTCAGAGCTGGCACCTTGCCAGCTCCTCAATGGTGGAAAGACCACTGGCCAACACCATGGCAAGCTCCCCGTCCCCCAAAGCACCAGCCGCCACCAGCAAGCGCGCACAGGCTCCCCTCCCCCGCCCTCCCACCCTGCCTGCACCTGCACGTGTGGCGCCAGCGGCGCCAGCAGGGCGTCCAGCCCCAGGCTGCACAGCGGGTCCAGCTGGTAGCGCAGCGCCAGGTGGGTGGCCGAGCGCGCCACGCGGGCCACCGCCGCCACCGCCTCGCGCCTCGCCGCCGCCTTGCGCTTCGACTCCAGGATGCGCCAGCTGATGGTGTTGAGGTTGAGCACCAGGGGGCGGTGGGAGAAGGCGCAGGCGCTGAAGAGGGCGTGGAAGGCGCGGCACACCTCTGCCAGCCGGCACCTGCAGGGGGTGGTGGTGGAGGTGTGTGGAGGTGTGAGGGGTACTCAGGAAGGCCAGCGGTGCTCAGCAGAGAGCAAAGGCGAGGGTGCGTGCAATCGAACCGGGGCCAGAGCCACACACAGCATGCACGGCCATGAAGGCGGACGCTGCTGGATCGAAATGAGGAGCTGACCAGTGCCGCATGCAGGGGTCGACAAGCAGCAACAACCGGCCGTGCCCGCGGCGCCACCCGCACCTCTCTTTCCAGGGCAGCCCATTGCAGGCATACGCCATTATCGACGCCAGGCAGGCATCGGGCAGGTGCAGCAGGCGCAGCTGCTCGGCCGATGTCTGCGCCCTTGTCTTGGGGCGGTGGAGCGTAGCCATGGCTGCGACGTGGGGCGGTGACGGGTACTAAGCGGCAGGTCGCGGCGGTGCCCGACCGCGTAGCCGGCGTCGGATCACACACGCAGCCCCTGCTGGGCCGTCCTGCGCCTCTGCGTGCGGCCTGCACTCTGGTGAGCGCGCCAGGGACCTCTGCCGAGACCTGACTCGACAGGAGATTGGCACCGCACCGGCCGAGTGGTAGCGCAGAAGGTTTAACAGCACTTGCACAGGGTGCCAGCAGCTGCACGGGGGGGAAGGATGAAAGGGGGACGGACCTCGGCCAGCGTGCTGTGCTATGGCATCGCCCATGCAGAGCACTGTGCACAAACCCTGCTCTCCGCATTTCGCAGCCGCTCAATTACCATCCTATGAGCGTGCTGGACAGCTTGACAACACTCCCTGCCCCACCCGCCCGGAACTATCACCTCCGTTGACCGGCCGATGCAGGCTCCACAGCTGGTTACGCCCACCCCCCTGGCCGACGCGGCAGCACTGGCAGATGCTCTGCAACGCGACCGACTCCAAGGTGCAGCTGTGGGAGCGCGACTCTGCACACGCCGCCTCCACTGCTCCCTGCCACCGATGCTGTCGGTGGAGCATTGCCCTGCATCGGCTGGAGTTTGCGCACTGCCCTACGGCCTGCAGTGGTGGAGCTGTACGCCGACTGGGCGGGGCCCACACAAGCGCTGCCCACCTTTTGGCGGAAGGTGGCAATGGAGCACGGAGGCCAGCTACCGCTCGACCTCTCCACCGCCTGCTACGAGAAGTGCCACGATGCGCCGGCGCTGGCGGGACACAGTAGCACCAGCCAGCCAAAGGTGGGGCAGCTGCCAGCTGGACAGCCGGCGCAGATGGTCTTGGCGGCTGCTGCACAGCCGGTGCAGGGCTGCGCCCCAGCATGTGTGCTTCCCTGCCGTTGATGGCATGCGCACTACTGCCAAAGCCACTGCATACCGTGGCTCCTGCCTGCAGTTCTTGCTCTTCAAGGGCGGCAAGCAGGTGGCGTGCGTGGAGGGAGTGGATCCCCCGGGCCTGCTGGCCGCCGTAAACAAGCAGCTGGCGGCAGCGAGCGGCGCAGCGGCAGCGCACCGATCCAGCGACAGCGAGGAAGAGTGACGCGGCGGTGGCACGCGCGCTGGCGCCGCAGTCCGCCCAGCTCTGCAAGCGCTGTATGTTACACATGTGCGGGGTCATGCGCGGCCCGCAGCTAGCTAGCTGGAAAGAAAAAGCAGGTAAACATTTGAGCCGGGTGTCGAGGTATAGAGATGCAGCAGCACGAAACAAGTGAGCGCCAAGTCAGGGGACGCAGCGCAAGCGGCAGCCATGCGTAGCGCGCGCCGCTGGAGCGGCATGCCAGGGGAAGAGGCTGGCCAAGCCCACCCCTCCGCCTCCGCCTCCGCCTGCCGCCTCAGCACACGGGCACCACCCAGCCAAAGGGGTCTGGGTAGCGCTCCTGCTGCAGCCCCGTCAGCTGGTCATACAGCTCCAGGGCCACGGACCCGGGCTGCCCGTCCTCGGCGTACTGCCGGCGCCCCCCCTTGTACGTCAGGCTGCCCACAGGGGACACCACCACAGCGGTGCCGGTGGTGAACAGCTGCGGAGCGGCGGGGGGGAGGGGTGGCAGGGGTCGTGGGGTGGGGGTGTCAGGCAAGGAGGCAAAGCGAAAGGAGGATCTATGGGTGGCAGGCAGGCGGGGCGGCAGAGCTTCGAGAGTTTGCGCCACCTCACGCCCAGCCTCCCGCACAGGACCACCTCAGCGCAGAGAACTGCGAGGACATCCCCAGAACCCCCCCTTCCCCCTCCCCGTCCCCGCACCTCGTCCGCCTGCATCGCCTCCTCCACCGGCACCGGCACCTCCTCCACAGTGTACCCGCGCGACCGCGCCAGCTCGATGATGGAGCGCCGCGTCACGCCGGGCAGGATGGTGCCCTGCCGAGCAGGAGGGCGGGAGGCGTGGGGGCGACCGGGGAGTGAGGGAGGTGAGGGGGCATGGTGTGCGGGCAACCGGATTCACCGACGCCCAAGCCAACAGCATATGCTGCGCCGCCTCGGCTGCCCGCCAGGCGGCCAGGCGGCCGGAGCGGGCGCGCGCGCACCTGCAGCGGCGGCGTGCGGATGGTCTTGCCCTTGACGGCGAAGATGTTGCAGGAGGACACCTCCTCCAGGTATGTGTCGGTCTTGGCGTCCAGGTACACCACGTCGCTGTACCCCTCCTTCTTGGCAGCCAGCTGCGGGTGCGGGGTGTGGTGTGGTGTGGTGTGTGTGTGTGTGTGTGTGTGTGGACAGGAAGGGGACAAGGCAGGAGACGGGCTGCGAGAGGGCAGCGTGAGTGTGCTGCGCGCGACCCCGAGCACGGGCAACAGCACGACAGGGCCCATGCTGCGCAGCGCGCCACGCCGGCCGGC